GGTGAGGCCACACAAAAAGATGAAGTTCCATATTTTCGACATGTATATATTATACCCACCAGCCGAGATTCCCGCATAGAGGCCATTAACGAGTCCCTCTTGTTTGACAATTTGATTGGCACAGTCCAGCGGACTCGTGTAGGATCCTCCTTCTGTTTGCATTTGGACGCGAATCACATCGAGGGGATGACAGATCGTGGCGGCTCCCATGCCCGAAAAGGCCGCAATCACCATCTTCACGGCCAACTTTCCTGCTGCAAAGCCTCCCATTTTGGTTGTATTGTCTTTTCTTTTGATTAATTAGTAATTTGGGCAAGTTGGAAGGGTTGAAATTTAGTGTGATTCCTTTATCCACTCCGATGTCTTGCTGCAGTTTGTATTGTAATTTCCTTTTACTGGCAGTGCAATTGTTGTGGAGGATGTGAGGGTTGGCAGCTGACAGCCATCAATCAATCAATGGCACATTTTCCGGAAGACCTCAAAAGATCCAAAGATCCAAGGCAATGAGAAGCTTCGGCAGTTTGATGATTGATTCGATTCATCATTCGATTCGATTCGATCCGATTCTTTACGGTCGTATGGATTAGTCACCATGCTGTATGCACTGTAATGCAAAGGCCACGATACCGTACCGATACGGGTAGCTAGACTAGTACTGTAGCTCCACCAATAGGCAGCTTATCGAGACAGGTGAAGTCATTGTCCAGCTCTCAAGTACTCGTACATGCCCTTATGGACACATCCGCAACGGTTCGCACTATTTGCAAGCTACTTTAGTGTATTAAGTTCGCACACAGTTATAATGCCCTTATGGACTTAGTAAATCATAGCTAGTCTACTAGCTAGCTACCGGTACCAGGTAGCAGGTTTCCAGCTAAAAGGACCGAGTGTTGAATAAATCCTCTTGAACCGTCGATCTAGCAAACTAGCCAGATCGCTGCCGGTACCGGTACGGTAGAGTCCGCTCGAGTGCTGGGACGGAAGCTGTGGGGCTACATCCCTTTTCCGTCGTGGTCATGGGCGACGGTGATTGCGAGTTGCCCTATAATTCGTTCGGCTGCTTCATTCAATAGTAATTTCAGCCAGGAGGAAACTTATTGGAAAGTACTAGACTAGCCAGTTGAGGAGGTAGCTACGGTACGTAGCTACTAGTACAGCCTCGAGAAGAAACCAAACATACATGTACATGCAGCTCCAAGCATCGCTGCGGTAAAAAGTATAACACTCCTCATGGCAACTAGCTAATGGGCGAGAAAGGGGTGGAAGGCAGCGATCTGATTGGTTAATCAACCTAATACGTCAGGAAGTATGTCGCAAAAATTCAAATATACTTAACGTACCATTTATAGTTATTACAGGGGAAAATGTGCTACCTAGTCGCTGATTTTCTTCTTTCGCGAAAATAGAAACAGATTCCGTGAACGTCGGATCGGCCGATCCATCGACCATGACATGCTGCCGCTCATGCTGCCGCTCATCCACAAGTCATTATCTCGACCAGAAGCAGCAGCAACAACACATCAGCAACATGGAAGTAACAACAGCCACAACACCCACTGGCGCTGCCACAACAGCCACAGGAATGGGTTGCCAAAGTCAGAATAGAAACTCCCAGCAGAAGAGAGCCTACCAACTGGCTGCGAACAACAACAACAACCGATCCAAGAGAGCCAGAGAAGAAGGACCCCAAACGACACTGGGAGGAGAGGTAGCAGAAGTCTTTGATCCACTCAAGAACTGTGTCATCTGTAAGGCCAGACATCTTGGTCTCAGAGTCCCCAAGAGATCACACTCTGTCTTCTGTATTAAGAATACAGTAACAAGAGGAGCAGGAGACTTGAATGAGCTGACAATGGAAACCCTCAGAGAGAGCAGAAGACTCACAAGGCATTTCAGTGCTCCACTTCCACTGAATGAGAGAGGAAGCTGGAAGCACTCAACAAGAGAGAACGGGGAAGCCTTCTTTGGTCCTAGAACAAACACAGCCAAACCAAATCAGAGCCGGCAACAGAAGACATCCACAACCAACACCTCTCCAATGGCTCTTTGTCAAAAGGTAACCACTCTTGTAAATGATACCGCCTTTGTGGAAAAACACAAGAAGAAAGGAGCACCACTGGCAATGCTAGCTATGGCAGAAGCAGTGTCAGAATCCATTACCAGGACAAGGAATCCAGAAGTCTTTAGGCAACACTTTGAAGGACTCACCATGACAGTTCCCTCCACAAAGGACCAATTCAAGTCACCACACTATCACTCCATTGTTGGCCAGAAACTCCTCCTCGTGGACTGGAATCGATGTGGAATTACAGTACTTTGTCCCGATGGAAGATGCTCTGGCAAGCTCAAGAATGAAAGAACAAACTGGTCACACAACAAGACCTTGTTTCCTATCTTTGGCATCACTGGTCCTCCTTCTTGGTGTATGGTCATGTCCATGGTTTGTGGAAGCTGCAACAGAAGATTCGATGCCAACTCTGCAGAAGTGCTGGTCTCGATCCCAGACCATGCTTCATTGCTCTATCCAGTGGAGTCCAAGTATGCTCTACCTAAGGTTGGAATTTCCGCATTTGAATGGCAAGTTGCATCATTTGACTTTGTTGTTGTTGCGTATAGAACCAAATACCACATCAACATTTCTCTTGTTCTGCACTGCAGTGGAGCGTGGTGGTGTGGCCGTGGTGGTCAGTCGCGCAGGTGGTGGCGTGGGTCGATTGCTGGTGGTTCTGTTGGACGTGGTGGCTCGACTTGCTGGTGGACTCGGTGGTGCTCCATTGCAAGCTGCACAAAGACACCAATCATTTGGAGCATACTTCTGCCTTTGTTGTTTGAAGGAAAAAATGAACTCTGAAAAGAACCTCTCTCCAGAATCATGTGGCAGTGGCTCTGCAGTTGGAAATGGTGCATCCATACCAACAGCCTCTGCCATGTCGTTGAGGTAAGCCAACTCTGAGTTGTTCCAGTATGGAACAACATTCTCCCATCCAGCTGGAATTGACTTCTTTTCTGCCTCGCTGATTCTTGACAGTAAGGCTCTCTTGTGTCTAATCTTGAGGGTGTATCTAGCAGTGCCAGCAAGGTTGAGTGCATCAGCAGGCTTCTTCTCATTCCACCATTTCCAAAGTGGGCAAACTTGTCATGGAAAGCCTCTGACTTTGACTCTCCTCTCCTTGATAGGTACTCTGGAAGATTGTGCCTGGAGTTTGGAGAAGGTTGGATTGTGTAATACATGTCTTCCAGTGCGAGGGGATCAGCCAAGTGAATGGCTTTGTCGACACAGTTCTCTACTGCTTGCTTGGTATCAGAAGTGAACAAGGTATCGTTCTTGGCTGGATCCAGTCTTCCCTGTCCTGGCTGGCTACCATCACTGCCTGTCACCTTGTACCTGCAGTACCACTGTTGAATCTTCTGCCTCATTGTCTCTGGTGACCTCATCTGCTTCCTTAGATACTTGGAGTACCGAGCTCTGAAGACCTTGGAGGCTTGCATGTCGGAGATCTCTGCCATGGAGTAGTGCTTGCCATTGGAGGACAAGAGGCCATGTTTCAATGCATGGAGGACCTTCTCATAGTCATCTGGTGAGTACTCATACAAGCAATCCAAGAGGTCTGTCAGTGCTTGAAAGTAATCAATGTGACCCTTCCTCAAAGTTGACAGGATCCTCTTCTCATAATGAAACAGGCCAAGTCTTCCCTCAATACCTGGAAAGAGTAACTCCCAGTAGTCATCCTGGTGGGGCCAGGTGTCACTGTACATTGCAGCTGGATTGAAGTTGCTCCTCCTTGCTAGTTGCATGGCAGCATGGGAGAGGTGGATTGTCTTGGTGGTAGGAACGATAACTGCTGAAGCAATCTCTCCAGTCTCAGTAGAAGCATCCCAAACAGCAGCCAAGCACCAAGACTGCGTAGTTTTGATACTGGAATGTATGGTTTGGCAGAAGAATTCATTTGTGTGCCTGACACTTTGGATCTCTCTTGTTGTGCTTTCGTTGTACTTATCCTCCATGGATTCCTGTTTGAAGCACAAGCAGCATCAAAGATGTCACGGATGGTGTCACCAAGATGAGGAAACTGTCGTATGTAAGTGCCATCCTTTTGGAGAAAGGGATCTGGATCTAGTTCCTTCCTTGGCATAGGAGAAGTATGATGACATGGCCTCTAATGAACGTCTGTTGATTGCATTGTAGATGATGCGGCGTGCAGAGTTCCCATTACCATAGTAACCATTATAGTTCGCAAACACTTCAGTGCTGTTCTGTCCAAGTGACAAGTCTTG